CTTTTCTTAAAGGGATCCCCATCCTTTGTTCAGACTTAAAGCAGAGCTAGTTTTGAGGTAGCCAACCTCATTTTACCATTACAGGTACTAATGTCAAGGGTTTGCAAAGCAACCACAACCTAACTTCCTACAAGATCTCTGCCACAGTCAACAGAACCTTTTGCTTTACTTATTTCCATTTGTGAATACACTTCATAACTAGTTTTTTGTTTGGTGGCTTTCCCCCTCCTTCTCCTCCCCGCTTCCCTCATCCTCATTTTCTGCAGATAAATTTTATTGCTGCAGATTGTTGATGTTACAAATGGCATCTCCCTGAACAACAACCAAATAGGTGTCAGAAACTTTAGCCAGTTGAGCCATTGGACAGGCGTTTGAAGCCAGCTCAGATCAGTTATGATCAAAATTATGCTGCTGCTATCTGATGCTTGTTCAGTGTTGTGTGTAAAATGGATTGGTGGCCTCCATCCAGGAACCATTCCAGTTCTTTGAGGACAGCTGTCCACATCACGGAAGCCACCATCCACACTGGACCTGTTAAAATGCTAACCTCTCCAATTTTATTCCTTTCACTCCGTGTGTGCATGCTTTTAAACTGCATTTTCTCCATGAATCTAGAAACGAAGATGTGTCCTTTTCATTGCTCGGACAGAGTCTCATTGTGAACCTTAGCACTTGTATGGTAATTCTGCCTAGGAAGGTGTTACCCCATGAAAAAAAATTCTAGTGAAGGATACATTTTTCAGAGAACACGTGTGCCCAATTTCTTTTGGCTTTCAGTGGGACTTAGGAGACTAAGTCACTTAGGTGCATCTAAAAATTTTACCCAGAACCAATAGTCAATATAGATTTTATAACAGAAAGAAAAAGAAATTGTAAATTGCCTATATTTCTATTACTTCAAATAGAAGGGAGGCTGTTTTAGTCAAAATCTAATATATCTTTTGACCCAACCCTAAGGAATCCTTTGCAAATTGTGTCAACGCCCTGATCAAAGAAGATGAGAGACCATAATTGGGGGAAGTCCTCTGCAAGCTCCTAGGGCAATGCTACACAGGCAGCAGAGTAAGAACTCTGGAGCTGGGTCACATACATGTCACCCTATGGGAAGGCTCCGAGAGCAGTGAGAGGGAACAATTTATCCATTCTAAGAGCTGTACAGTCCCATTACTGCTTTTTCCTCTGTTCCCCCAAATATATCTAGGATTATAGCCCAAATCGCACCATCTTTTCTTAAGCAGTTCATATTTCAAGCTGTTCTATCTGCTGCGTCTAATTCATAAAGATCTTGCCTTGTGGCTGCTGCTCCCAGGCATAGCATGGTGAGTAGAAACTTGAGAAAGCAGCTCGGGCTTGCCATGCTGGCTAAACCTCAAGTTTAACTGCATCTGGTTGCTGAGACACACTTAGCTTTTTAAATTGTCAATAGATATTGACTGCTCAAACAGAAGTTGCAGGGAAGTTTCAGAAGCCCAGTGACAATTTCATTTGATGAGAGACAGCAGCTAGCTGCAAAGGAGATTAGCAAGTTACCACCGTTGAGAATTCATCGACCAGCTCTTTCTGGGTGAAGATTACAAAGATTTACTGACAGTCCCAGTAACCTAAACAAACTATGATCGCTTAGTCATCCAGTTGTAGCTTTCCCAAAGCCTTCTGGAGCCAATTTACAACCAGATTCTTTTAGCTGTAACAAGCTGCAGGGAGGGATAAAAACTCATTTAGGGACTGATTTCAGCCAGGAAAACTAAGCTTAGGAGCAGCTATGTAATATATCAAGTAGGATCTCCACTCAGTTCTAATTAGTCTGAAAGAAAGAAAAAAATAGTCCACAAACTTGTTTTATTTAAATACAGTGAGATCCTACCACTCTTGCTAGTGAGCCTCCTGCAATTTTTGCTTTCAGAATGTATAAGTTAAATTTATGCATTTGGGTGATGTGCCTGGTCCTTCAAACATTTTATGACTCCAACCTCAGCTAGTGATTTCTACTTTGTAAGTACAGTATTTGCACATGAATGCTGATATACATTGGTAATGTGATCCAAGGTGAAGTGTCCTATTTCTGACATAAGCATAGTTCTTTCTTCTCCTAAGATGGGCAGAATTGCAACTCCAGACTAAATGGTTAATTTTGATATATTTTTCCCAAGTGAAAATCTGAATTTTTTTTCATGTCCAAATTATATTTTTTAAATTTATTTGAACTGACATTTTATTTTTGTAAAAAATTCAAGGCGAGGTGTTTCACAAACTTCCACTCCTTCCCGTTTGTCTGTTTATTCACCTATCGTGTTTTGTCCAAATCTTAGATTGGGCGCTCTCTGCTGCAAGGGCTGTCGTTGTGTTAATTGTTAGTACAGTGCCTAGTTATGGAGTGCACAATTGAAATAACAGATAGAAACAAAATGGCACAAAAGGTATTAACGGTAAAGATAACCAGTTTATAAAAAAATGAGATAAAATAAAAAGCATCCATAAGGTTACTTAAAACTTGCCGGGTGTAAACTCATAAGAAAGGCAAGAGAAGACAGAAAGCCAGTACATATTATTCACAAGAGGGAAAAATCTGTTGTTCAAACAGATAAGTACTTAAATATTGTCTCTTCCCTCCAAACAACGGGGAAAAGATTAGTCTAAGTAAAATTACTAATAATTTGCCAGTTACTATTGAACTACAATAGCTAGAAAGTAAACATAAAAGAAAAAAATCTAGAAAGCAAGGAAATATTAATGTAGAGCCAACATTGCATCCTTGGCTGAAGTCCTGCAATCTTGGTTTCAGCTCTGGCACAAGAGATTGCCTGCACAAATCTTCTGATTGCACAGTTGGGCCCCCAGAATGCTGTTACAGTCAGAAAAGTGGGTATGTGACAGAAACCCTTATGTTTCTTTTGATGGTATGAAAGGGGGCCCATATGAATTCTAAACTCCTGGATTTCAGCACCTGTTAAGCCCCTCCAATTGTAAACATAACCTTTTTTTTTTTAAACACTGTTGTGCTGATAAATGAGATGGAGCATTTCAGCCCTCATCTAATCCCAATCTTTCCCTATCCTGCAATTAAATAAATTAATCATTTTAAATGGGTACATTTCTGAGACAACATCTGAAGAAAAGAAATCCCCATTACCAGACTGGCATTTATATAATAAATTACCCACCCTTGCAGAATTCTGGTCTAGGCTTGTCTGGGGATAGCTAGCAGGCAGAAGGGCCAGTCTGTCCAAAAGTTAATGTACAGCACTAGACAATTACATTACAATGTGAACTGCCTTTTATAAGGAATGTATATATTTTTTTCCTCTCTGAGGGTGAGGGAGAGGGGGCTAATCCAGATTTCTTGATGACCTTGATAGAATCCTGGAAATTCACCAGGATTTTGGGTTTGTGGATTTTTTTTAAAAATCTTTCCCTTCTTGGTGCTTTGTGCCAGGGCTACCATCCTACAGGCTGAGGAGACTTTTCTTCTGGCTGGAGGGGACTCTCTTCAGAGTCCAGCAACACTTCCCATTAATCAACAGTAGGGATGTGAAGCAAACTTTCTCCACCCCCACTGACTCAGCATACTTCTCCCTGCCAGTCCCTGCCTGACTAGTAGCAGGGATCAGCCAGCTAGGTCTGCCTCATGTCACTGTCATGTACAAATGTTGTAATAAATCAGACAATACAAATTGAAACCCATGAATCATAGAATCATAGAAGATTAGGGTTGGAGGAGACCTCAGGAGGTCATCTAGTCCAACCCCCTGCTCAAAGCAGGACCAACCCCAACTAAATCATCCCAGCCAGGGCTTTGTCAAGTCGGGCCTTAAAAACCTCTAAGGATGGAGATTCCAACACCTCCCTAGATAACCCATTCCAGTGCTTCACCACCCTCCTAGTGAAATAGTTTTTCCTAATATCCAACCTAGACCTCCCCCACTCCAACTTGAGACCATTGCTCCTTGTTCTGTCATCTACCACCACTGAGAACAGCCGAGCTCCATCCTCTTTGGAACCTCCTTTCAGGTAGTTGATTGGTTGCCATAATCATCAAAGGAAGACATTTCCTCTCAGTCATTTATTCTTGCCTGGAAAAACACATACAATAATCCTCTCCTATAATTCAATTGCACTAAAGCACTTAACCATTTCATAGGAAAGGCACTGAAAGACCCTGTTCATCCTTGGCCCACCTAAAACAAATAGCAAAGGATATAATAGTTACCATGGCCTAGGTGACAGACAGGTAATTACTTAAATATTGTCTTGTTACAAAGTGGCCATGAAACCACACTAAATTTTGGCAGTATTTTTTCTCAATACACATCTTTGGTTCACTGAAAAGATTGGCTTGATTTATGGTTTCACACCAGATCAGGAAACACTCAGTTCCTCTTAAATTTGAGGGAAAAACAGATAAACTTCATTGGTTTTGACCAGAGCCTGTGAAAAATTTTTCCAATGGAATAGTTTTCCCTTGGTTTCCAATAGTTGGTGGAATTACATAGATTGCATCTAAATTTTGTATGGAAACCAGGCAGCTGCCTGCCTGATTTCTGGCTGGTAGGCAGGCTGAGTTCCCATCCTCCCCAAGTGTTCCTGGGCAGCTTGCTGGCTGCCTCTGTGCCTGGAATTTTTTGAAAATTTCCATTCTGCTTCTCCCGAAATGGGATTTTTTGAAAACTTACACCCATTTCTAACTTTTTGTTCTGATTTGGAACATACACACACAGACTGAGAAACACAAAAGTGTCCATCGAACAGAAATTAGTGTAGTAGCGCAGCTCTCGTTTGAGGTCAACCAAAGTTCCAAATCTCAAAGTGAAACTCAGGGTGTTGGAACCCCATACAGATCAAAGCAGAAGCAAAGGAACACTCAGCTCTGTTCCCAGTTCCACCGAACTCTGATTATCTAGGGAATATGTGGATTTTTTGTTGGACAGGAGTGTTAGGGACACTACCCTAGTCTTTAAAGCTCAGAACTTAAATCAGGTTAAAAATGTTAAATAAATACTTAAAAAACTCTGGACCAAATTTATCCCTGTAGCTCCACTGAAGTCAACAGAGTCAAGACCCAGGGTTAGTTTGGCCCTCTATATTTACCAAAACCTGTATCTTACACAGGTCCAGGCTTTGAGTTTTGAATGAGAGACTTAAATGAAATGAATAACTGGAGCTTGTCTCTGAATTCTCAGCACTGTGCGACATAGAACTGTACCTTGCTCCAGCACTGAATAGGCTGAGGAAACCAATGACACAATTTCACCATCAATGTGGGAGTTCATGAACCTTGACAGAAATAAACTATTTTCTTTGGGTGCCAATATTGTTGACTGGGTTTCATTATTGAGGTAGTATCTCAATTTCAAACTGGAGATGCAGTTAACAGTCGGAAGGTTCCCAATAGCTACTCCTGTTCAGTGGAACTATAAGCTTCCAGTTATATGAACACATCTTGATTGTCACCAGGAGGATCACAATCTGTGGCAAACTTGTCTCACCACAGATGCTAAGACTGAATGGGCCATGAAAACTGCACTATCCTCTCACCCATGGAGGCAGTCTCTGCGGAAGAGGATTTAGAGATATTGATACTATAGTATAATGGGAAATCTATATCTGCTTTCCTGAACTATACCAAAGGAGTTAAAATGTTAGGGTTTGCATCATGTCATAAAATTTCCCACATACATAGTGAGCATGTGAGTATAAACATATAAACAGAGCTGTGCAAATAACTGATTTTTTGGTTTGGTGGCCAAACCAGAAAAAAAAAGAAAAAGTTGTTTCAAGTCAACCAGAAATATTTTGGCAAATCGAAAAAGTGAAAAAAGTTTGTATAGGATTGAAATAAAATGTTGTTTAGTTTTTGTGTTGAAAGAAACATTTCATTTGACCGTAAGCAAAAACATTTTTTAAAAAATATCATTTTGTTTTTGAGGTTATTTTACTTTAAAAAAAATTAAATGATCTAAATTTCAAAATGAAAAGTCATTTCAAATTGAAATGTTTCATTTAGAAAATGTCAAAACAAAGTATGTTTTTCCTTCCCTCCCCCTCTGAAACAATTCAGCAAATTTGATACAAATTGACAAAATGTTTTGGCCAAATTGCCTCTGCATTTTTTGGCCCAGCTGTCCATATAAAGAAGTGCATCAGACATTTGAAACCTAAGACAAGCTTTCACACATAGACACTTTTTTCAGGTTCTAAATGTCACACTTTATTGCTGGTTTCTATCACACCCATGTCTTGGCCTCAGAATATACTGCAAAAACAAAATGAAAATGCAATTAAAAATAAAAGTCCTTCAGATATTGTGTTTTTAAAATTATTACTTTACTGTCGCCTTCTGGATCTACTCCCCTCCACACGAACTGCAAAAATAAAAAAGTTAGTAAAGACTCTTTCATTCGACTGAGTTAATTTAAAACTTGCTGACATTCAGTGTTTAATATCCAGAAATAGTCCTGTGCAAAGCAGACCAACAGAGAAATTGTCTACAATTGATCTTCAGGCCTTTGAAAGCATCATCAAATGTCACTTCTTACAAGAAGCACAGTAACTACAGTGAGATAAGCAATATTTTCCATTAGCTGCAGATAACTGTTGCACCCTCATCTCTCTTACAAACTCCTTCTGCAGTGAAATAAATAAATAATGTCACTCCTGGAATATTTCATTTTAATAATAAGGTTATTATTATATGCGGAGTAAAGCTTTTTTCTTTTCATTTCTTTCTTTCTCCCCTCTCCCCACCCCCCAACGAAAGGATAAAACATCACAGCTATGATTAGTTCCTTTGCCAGCAAGCGAGCCTGACTCTTTAATGTAGCTGCTCTGCTCCTTAGCTTTGTTTTCATTATTATTTGCATTCTGCTGCAGATGACTAAGAGATAGTCAAAAGATCAAAGGTTTCCTTTGATGGTTTATATCAAGGATCCCTGCTGTATTAAAAAGGATCTCAGGTCAGGACATTCTTGTTCACATGCAGATCTGAACAAGGGGCTGAACGCAGTGATCAAACTGGATGAAGGCTGAACACATCCATCAAAGGGATGACCACACTGAACCAAACAGAAGAGGAGGTTCTACTTCCATAACCATGACATTAACTAGCGACAGATGTCTCACTGTGGCTTCTTCTTTGATGTGCCAGGACTAGGAAGAACTAGAGAACCTGGAAATGTTACACATTCTGAATTACTCTAGAACTATATATATCTATCGGAATATATATATATATATATATAATATATATCGGAAAAACAATTTCTAAAATTAAAGGATTTTATTGTTTTCATAAGATCACAACACAGGCGAGTCTTGTGTTACCAAACCACACATCTGCTATAAATAATATATAGCACTTACCATGTGCATTTCACCTTGAAAACATTTACAAACATCAATAAACTAATCAGCACAGCATCGCTATGAAATAAAGTACTATCAGTCGCAGCTTGGAAACGGGGAAACTGTCACAGAGTGCAAGGCCTAGCCTATGCTAGGAAAGTTTGCCAGTACAGCTATACTTTTAGCTAACACATAGGCTAGGTCTACACTTAAACTTTTGCTGGCATATTAATGATGGTTAGAGGTACGATTTTTCATCACATTTTTGTACCAGCAAAAGCCCCAGTTTAGATAGCAGCTTACAGCAGCAAAAGAGTGCTTTTGCTGGTACAGCCTATACCAGTTTCCTGAGCAAAATAAGTTATACTGGAAAAAGGACTTTTATGCTGGTATGACTGCATCTACATAGGGCTTTTGCTGGCATAAAAATGCAACAACAAAAAAATCACATCCCTCACTGACATTAATGTACCCGCGTAAGTTTTAAGTGGATACCTGGTCAAAGTGTAAATTTTTAAAGGTATAGATCACTCACAACTCCCATTACCTTCCTCACCTCAAAGAATCAGGTTCTCAGTAACTTGCTCAAGGCCAGGATTAGAACACAAGCCTGGATTCCCAGCCCCCAGGCCTGTGCTCGAACGACACTTCTGTCTCTTAGGTCATCCTACATAGAACATTAGCTACACAACATGCTGTCTGCCTTTGGTCCATGTTGCAACTGGCATCCAACTAGAAACAATATCTCTGAAATGGTTTGTTTGATTGTTACATTGTGCTCTCTTTCTTGTTTGGGGAGAGGGATAGCTCAGTGGTTTGAGTATTGGCCTGCCTAAACCCAGGGTTATGAGTTCAATCCTTGAGAGGGCCATTTGGGGCAAAAATCTGTCTAGGGATTGGCCCTGCTTTGAGCAGGGGGTTCAACTAGATGACCTCCTGAGGTCCCTTCCAACCCTGATATTCAATGATAAATCTCAGTTTTGGTGGTTATATTTTTTTCAGATCAATGCAATGAGCAGGCTAGTAACTCAAAGAAAGGACAGGCACTATGATTAAAATAAAGAGGAAGTTCAAAGAAATTGTTGAGGAAACAGCTTTATATGAACAACAAAGGGAAGTGTATTTTTATGTTTTCCAAGAAATCCTAGTTATCAGCATGCCATAGAAGAGAATCTGAGCCTACCAAACCAGACAGCCTTGGAACCCCAGATATTATGCATCATTACCTCTATTCACCTGTGAAATCATACCCTGGTTCTTCAATTTGGGCCTAATCTAAAGTCCGCTGAAGTAAATGCTTCTTTTCCACTGACTTCAATGGAGCTTGGAGCAGCCACATAGTTACTTGATTCAATTCCAGAAGGTTTGAAAGGCCTCCACTTAAAGTGTTGGCTCTTTTCCTTCCCCTACCTAATTTTAAACTCATCTCCATCACATAGCTCACCTAACATCATTTTGTAATATCGCCATCTGGAATATATCATTGCTCTTTGGGGTTAACCTATCCTGAAATAGCATCAAGTGGCTAGCTCTAGTGACAAAATTATTTCCCCACCCTATCCCCTCCCTGGTCCCAGCTTTCCCTGTTAAATTCCATTGATCCGCAATGGAATGAAGCAGAACAAATGCTGTTCTGCTACACATGCAGTTTTGCAGATAGAAACACTCAAACTGATCATTTTTCAGTGTGGCTAAGAAGCTGGATTTTGAAAACCTTATTTAAAACGGTAAGCACTTTTTAAACAGTCACAGGGAAGTTAATGGGGCTACTTGTGTTAGTAAGAGCTCACCAGTATGGGTAAAGGTTGCTCAATCTAGCCTTGAACATTTGCTATTTTTAAAGAATCACTGAAGGACAGTTTTCTGTGTACATGTTAATCACTTACTCATCTAAAATGTGAGCAAATACTCAATAAGTGAGTTGATTTGAAGTCTTTAATGTGAATTGTCTTTATTTCCCAACAACATATCATGCAATGTGATGAGGTTGCATATTATGAGCCACACTCTTTGTTACATAACCGTCTACTGAGATGCATTTTCATTGATCTGGGGTGTAAGTGCTACTCTGGGAAAATAAAGTTGCTCAGTAACAATTTGAGGGCAAAACACTCTTGTTTATGCACCAGGCTATCACCCAGATATTCAGCAACTTGAAATAACTTGCAAATAGACTAGTATGTCTATCATTCTGTTTGCTGTCTAATCACTTCCAGTTTGACTTCTCATACAGTTCTTCCTCTAACCAGCCGATAAACACCACAAGGTCCACTGAATTTTGTTTCCCACCAAGACTGCATCTTTATCTCTAGAAAAGATTGATGAAATACAGTGTAAGTAAAACTTTACTAGCAAGGGCCTCTGTGCTTTGCCACACCAAGACCAATGTACTGTGGTCGCTTTGTATCTGCCTCACGGAGTTTGCATGAGTGACAGGCTGATAAATGGTCTTTTTAGCACTGAAACTTAAACAAGGAGTGGATTGAGTGAAATCACAACCTGGTCTGGCTCAAAATGACATATCGAGACAATTTCTCAGTGATCAGTTTCCTGATGGCTGAATTAACTGCAGTTTTATCTTGCTCTGTATTAGCTGCTTTACCTCACTTTCACCAAGTTGCTTTCTTATCACCGTAAACACTGCTGAGTTACTGTAAATTGCCAAAGGGGCAGAACTTTGCTATCCAGCACATAGGTACAAAAATTGGATTTTCTACTTCACTTGTCCATTGTATTTGAAACCATCCCAAGAGAAACAGATTTGTAAAACCACATTTTATCTTGATCCATGGAAAATG